TACCATTCAACGCACTTCGACAGCCATGGACGAGACCGTTCCAGCGAATGACATCTCTTTGAATCAAAGCCTTGCACGTTTATTTATTTTGCGACTGCTAAGCAAGGGAAGTTTTTACTTGTTTTCAAACACCAAGGTAGAGAAAGTTTCAAATTCGCGTTTGGGTTTTAGGTTTTATTCATTAGAGGTTATCAGTCAATGTCATTCTAGAGGATCCTTTTCTTGACAAATCTGTCTTCTCTCGTAATTTCATAACAAAATACCTAAGGGGATTTTTTCAAGCTAAACTATTTATTTCACATTAATTTCCTCCACAATAACTTGCATTTGAAATGTTTTCAAAAATTCCATAAAACTTTTTCTGACTCATTAATTATAGAAAGTAATGACACCATTGCAACAATTCGGCTGTGTTACGTTTTTAATTTCGAAATGTAAATTAACATTTCTGATACGTCGACAACTATCAGCTTCTAGCGAAGGCAAGTTCACTGTCACATAAACTATAAAATTACTCTCTCTATATAAAATTTTTAATGTATTATACATGTAACGTTTATGAAATAAAATCTACGAATAAAAATGCACATTGCGTGAATTTGTAAGTTATTTCCAAATATACCACGTGTAAACGTATCTTGCCTTGATTAACATAACAGGAGTTTGCATTACATAGGTGCAATACAGCTTGTGCATTAAAAGGATAATTCAACGATTTTTCAAACATACCATGATGTGAAGAAAAATGTACATGAAAAATGAGCATTGTCTCTCACAGATCCATTTTTTAACTCCAAAAACTGGCATTGCAGTATCCACGGGCATTTGTAATATTGAATTGATTACAGGAGGAGGGGACCAGACCGTTGGAACAGATCACAAGGGTACCTTGATTTCTACCCACTGCATCCTGCCTACATTCAACTTTTCCAAGGCTACTTGTTGATAAATATTAATGTAGGGCTCCGATCAAAGCTATAATGGCTCATGAAACATATAGTTTCTTTAGCACGAAATATTAATCGATCATATATTACGATTCAAATACTCAGCAAATCACTATCGTTATCATAATCAAAATAATTAAATACCCAAACAAAGTAAATAATAATAAATAATAATAATAATAATAATAATAATAATAATAAGCCATAATGACAAAAAATATTGTGTTCCTTAGTTGAAACATCGATAGTATTCTTAATAATTATAAAAAAAAGTATTTCGTATAACACGATCTTGACATCTTAATAGAATTTCATACAATTTGAAAATGTATTCCGTTGAATAGCTGATATCCAGATTCCTACCATGGCACTGTGTTGTCAGAATTCAAGAATAAGTTAGTCAAAAAAGTAAGTCACTCCGACTGGGAATCCAATCGCAGGGGATGGGATCACATCATGATCATTATCGTTATCATTCCCACCATCACCACTACGGACACAATTCATAGTTGCCTCATTTATTGTTTACGCCCTTTGAATTATTCAAATCACGGATTTTGGAGAATATATATTCAAGAGCAGTTTTGGAATTAATTCACTGTGCTGCGTAAGCATTGGTGGTCTTCCTCGCATTCGTCACTTTTTATTATGTATTGTGTAGGTTAACATGGAAATTGGATCATTTCCATTGGGCATTGAGCCTTTTGACAAGGTGATAGAGTCGACATTTCGAAAAACACAGGCAACAAATGAGTATTTTCACCAATAATCACATTCAGATTATAGTGGAGGCAATTTATTTAGGCGGGTCGCATCACCGAAGCCCACACTGAGGCATTTTCCTGTCTCAAAACGTCGCCACTATTGTTCCACGATGCCTAATAGGGTGCAGATTAGAGTGGAGCACGGGCAACGAGAGAGTGAAAAGAGGGGAAACGTGGAAGTCAGTCGCCCTAACTTATTTTCTCCAATATAGTAAAAAATTAAGACTTTGGTGTTCTTCATTGTGAACATGACAGTTCACCTGTTAATTTTTAATTTTTCCCAAGGAAAAAATTGTCAATAAGCCACATGAAATCACCGCCATTCCTTTCTTTTGAACTGGGAGAGAAGGCTCAGGGCATCAACTGATACCACTGCAGTCCCTCCGACCGGGAGGTCCTATGTTCGAGTACCGACGGTGGCAGGCCTTTTGACATTAGCTTGCCAACTAGGTCGAATTCAGACGCTGTCTGGAGGAGAATTCTGGCGGCCGGCTGCTCTGATCAGTAGTTTTTTCGTGGTTTCTCGGATCAACACCAAGCGAATGCCGGAGGAATGCCCTAACAAACGGGACACGGACCGCGCGTGATCTTCCTTGTCCTATCCTCCCGCCTTACACTACACAAGCACACAGGCCGGGAGGCCGGTCGCGAGCTTAGAGTTTTCCCCGGCTGAGGCAGTGCCCCTCATGTGGGAGATACCTGGTTGGGGAAAATCCTGCTAGCTGACAGTATGTCGGCGCCGGATCTCGCCATACAGCGAGGAAAATATCACCACCACCTCCCGAACAAAACGTGCACTACATTTACGGATCGAATGACCTGTTAGTTGGCGTGCCCGGAATCTCTAAAAGAATCAATCAAATCCTTTCTTTTAATGCAAAGGCGCGCACGCGAATGGGCGGGGGCGGGCGCGGGCCGAGCGCCGCGTGCGTGGGTGGCGTGCAGTGGGGGCAGCGGCCCTGAGAATAGCCGCGCCAGCGCGACGCCTCCGCGATCGACCGCCCGCCCGAGGCCACGTGGTCGACGCCCCGGCGCGCCGCCCAGAGGCAGCAAAGCGCACAGCGCGGCGCGGCGCAGCCCAGGGCAAGGCAGGGCGGACCAGGGCGGGGCGGGCGGCGCTATTCCCGGAGGCAGCCCACGGCCCGCGCCACGCCGCGCCGGGCGGGGCGGGGCGAGCCGGACCACGCGCACATGTTGACAAGCACGCACACAGACATTCAGAGCACGAAGAAGCTCCATAAAAAAATCTGCTTTATGTTTTATGACGACTATCGTTATGTCTTTTGGCAATCGTAAATGTTCAGTAAGCTGCACTGCCCATAGGCTCACATAAAAAATATATATCTATACATATATACTCCTTCCACAACCCCCTGGCCTAAGCAGGCACAAAACAATACAGTATTTTTTATTTTAAAAAAAACATGACTTCGCATTCGGGAAGGCTGGGTTCACCGACCGTGCCCGCCGTTCTGACGGGTTTTCGTGGTTTCCCTCGGTCATCTACGCGAATGCTCGGATGGTTCTTGTGAGAGGCCACGATCGTGAAGCCGGCGTCGCTTTCTGAATGCGTTAACTACGTTAAGCCAATTCGATACATCGCGGGTTCCTGTGTGGGTGACCGTCTGGGAACCCCGGGTTCTAACGACGCCGAGGCCTATTGCTCTTTACGCGACATATACTGGCTACTACAGATGCAAAAATTTTCCTCTAACTGCCGCCGTCGCCGTCGTGTCCGCAAGTGCCATTGTTTTCAGTTTATTTTCAGAGTATATAACTGAATTTATGAATTACTGCTACATACGATTATGTATGTAACAGCTATTCATGGTCATTTTTAATCTACCATGAGCAGCTTGTTAACATCAACAAAACTATTTTAAAAAATTGAACGGGTTAGCTCACGTTCTTTTAATGTTCATTCCTCCCCGAAAAATTCGAGCCAGAAACCCCCTATGGGGGCCACCCCAAATTCCAGCGCGACCCGTTGGCAGGGACTCGACAATCTCACACGGCCTTCCCCCTCCGGCGCTCGCATTGCCCCCTTCCCCCTCCCACCCCTTTCCCTTCCCTTCCCCTCCGCCTCCGCATCCCGTCGCCTCCCACGGCCTTCCAGTGGCGCGCGGCCCGCGACAGGCGCAGCGCGTGGGCGGGGCGGGGCGGGGGCGGGGGCCGCTTCCCGTTGCGCGCCCTCGCGGAGCCCACGCACGTCGCACCCTGCTTGCGCGAAAGCTGGAGCAGCACCAAACCGCACGGCTTGCTCCAATTGAATCGTTTATTTCAGAAACCCGTCAAACGCCAAAATCTAAAGCACGCTTCCAGGAGGATAGATACATCGTTTAGTGCATATTTACAAGAAAAATAGTTGTTTATCAACTCATTGAATAAAAAGAAATATTTAGAAATCTGAAAAATTTGGAGAATTTTTCTCAGTTTTCTCGAAATTACGAATTTGGCGTTTGACGCGTTTCTGGAAATAAAAAAAAGAGATTCAATTCATGTGCTGTCAGGAGGAGATCTCTATCGGCCGGCTGCTCTGATCAGTTCTCCGTAGTAGAGCTAGGGGAATGCCGGAGCTGTAGCCTAACAGACGGGCTATTTTGGTCCGCGGGCAATTTCCCCTGTCTTATCCTTGTCCCCTCCTGACACCTTACATACACTTACACTGACGTTCACTACACTTCCACATATCAGGAGACCATCCGAAGCGTAGAGCTGTGGGCGTGCCGCACTTGAGGAGGTACCTGGTCGGGGAAACCCCTTGAAGCCGACGTGCAGGTCGGCGCCGCGTCTAAGCCGGGGTGGAGCTCTACCAAGTTTAAAGATATAAAATCAACCTATCTAACAAGATATAAATTGCACTTCACTTATACACACAAAATAGTCAGTCCATCAACCGGCTTGCGCACACAAACGGCTTTGGAGTTGGCGATCGCCAGTAAACAAAATTTAATTCAGTTTCTTTGCATTCAAATGTTTTATAGAACAACTAAATATGCTAAATGTAGGTATTATATGTAAACGAGCTGCACCCTTGCGATATATATCTTGTAACTCATTGTTTTAATAGTGAAAACAGCTTCGGAAACTTCGAACGCTAAAAATTTTAAACGGTGCTTTAGAAACAGAAGCATACATATTGAAGATGCTAATGCATTATTTACCTTTTCTAATTTATAATAGTAAATGATAAATATGCTTTCAACAACTATTGTATTCAGATTCATTTTCTATGATCGTTTTTTTATATATTAAGCGAATACTCAGCCACTTATTTCGCTTCTCAACATCAAATGTAACTTTTCACCCAAACATCACAAAAAGCTTTCCCTTTCTTAAAATAAATAAATGAATAAATAAATAAAGAGTGTCTGCATTGCGTCCTCTATTTATACAGGAAGTAAATGACTTAGTAGGAAATATAGTTAACTGTATCACCAGAAAGCGCTCTGTGAGAATTCGAATCTGAAAAGACCTCTGTCACACGAGCGTTGCCAAAATGATTTATCTACGACGTGCGATAAGAAACGCGTGTAAATTAACACTGTATATTATGCAGAACGGCCAAAGCGATCGTGTGCCGTTTCGCATAAAATACAGTGTTATTTTACGACGCGTCTTACTTAACGCGCGTTAACGCACCGCTCGTGCGCAGAGGCCCTATGTATGTTGGGACAGTGTCGACAACCGAGTTGTAAAATATTCTCGGGGCTCTATTGACACATTTCTCAAGAAGAGCAATAGAGAATGGCATAACAGTGAAAATACTTTATCATAAGATATATTCTAATTAAAACATTATTTTGAAGTTTATTAAAATAATTATTATTAAATGTGTGTAAATTGTGGTTAATTCCAAGAGCTATGAAGCTACTAGTCTTCTTAGGTCAGTGCTAGATCTTCTCGGTTCGAAGTTTTCTAGGTTGCACACTAAATGTGAATATTATTTCCGTTTTTGTTTGTGTATTTGTGTATATTTTTATTAATAAAATTCCGTTTAACAAACACATGGTTTAATTCACCATGATTGTCCGTCCTTGATTCATCAAGAGTTTTGACGGAACTTCAGAATTTGATAAGGGGAATTGCTTTTCATTTTCTATCATTTAGTAGTGGTAACTTATTTTCCAATTACTACGCACTTAGACTTAAAGAGGCACCCGTCAACATACAAAAATAGTAGTCCCGAACAGATTCCTCAGATTCATTACAAAGTCCATTGGTTTATTTCAAATCAACATCTTCATAGATAATTTAATAGACATACTAAAAACACAACATTTACTAAATAGCACGCGTATGCAATAATTTCTACATCAACATAACTAAATAGACCAACTAAAACCATACAATATACCCTTAACAAACCGCACTCAAACTATTAAAAACAACAGATGTCCTTTTGATTCTTTCCTAAAAAAGTCAAGCAATTGTGAACAGTATGTACTCGCATGTATCTCCTCCAACGTAGTAGTAATAGTAGAACTAGGTTAAGCATAATTTAAGTTAGTGAGAAGTTAAGAACACACGGAAGAGAGTGTAAACGGAACCATGTTCAAACCAAACCATCAATAAAGGAAATAAAAGAAAGGCTTGAAGTACCCAGGCTCCTTTATGAACGGGCCCACGTCCGTCGCTGGCGACAGAGCAGAGGCGCAACCTTGTCCTTCGCCTTCGGCCGGCCTTTTTGCCCGAGCGCAGCGAAGAAGCCCGCGCGTGTGCATATGGGCGGCGTGGGGCGCAAAAAGCAGGGCCGGAGTAGCAGTAGTGACGGACTTGGGAACGGGTGGGGAAGAAGCGAGGCGAAAATGAGAAAGTGGGGAGAAGGACAGGGCGAGAAAGGCACGGGGGGGGAACCTCGCTGGCGCCGATAACGGATGGGTTGAGGCCAGGTGGGTTGGGAGCAGCAGAGCACGGTGGGATGGATGGACGGGCAGTGGAGGGGTGGAGCAGAGTAGGAGGGAGAGGGAGGAAAGGAGCTCAGAAGAAATGGGTAGCACAAGGAACTGGAGCGGAGAAGGGGCAAGAAGAGACACGATTGGCGGCGTATAGCAAGTAAAACATACATCCTTTGCTTTCTCTATTCTGGCGGGATGACTACGAGCGAGGCGAGGTGGAACGAGGTGGGGCGAAGAGAAGAGTGAATGAGAGATACATTTTTCGGTGGCAAAAGGCCATGTGGCTGAGTGGGCGGAAGTCAAGTCACGCACAGCCACAAACAAAAAGCCAATAATCAGCCCAAAAACATGTTGAAATAAGTCATTAAGCAAAGGGTTCTTAACTTCTCTTTCAGACCCGATGCACACGTTTCCTTTTGACGAACGATTCAGGAGTTTTAGCAAGCCCACGCAAGTGCAGTTTTTCCCGAATCCTAGGACAGAAGCCACATTGCACGTGCGCGTGTTCGCTATAACTCGGGAATCATTCTGCAAAAGGATGAACATAAAACGAATCTAAAAAAATTAACACTCCTGGAACAAGAAGGATGGAAGCCAAACGTTCGCAATGAGGCAAAGCAGGCCTGCGCATGTCGTACGCACGGGCAACTAGCGAGTGAGGTCAGCATAAGCTATGTTGGAATAATAATGTAATGATACAAGTTTCGAACTATCTGTACTCTTACCTTTAGTACGCTGTTCTTAGTAATCGATATATAGTTTTAGATACTGTTTATACATAGATCGTTGATCTATGTATAAACAGTGTTCTATTCGATTCAGCGATAGCGCAGGAAACTGCGAGTCTGTAACTGAAGTTTGAGAGGCGTAAACAAAGTATTGTAGGGTTGAGCCTCAACGTTGGGAGATTTTGGATTCCATTCAGGTAGCTGTATCGAAGTCGAAAACCACTGGTCGGATGAGAATTTTAGAGGCCGACTACTCTGATCTGTTGTCTCCGTCGATCCCTCGAAGTTTAGAAGAATGTCATCACTCTTCCTTTAACAATGGGCCAAGATCCACGCGCGATCCCTCCTCTACCTGTTCACATTCCAATCCTTCGTTCCGAGCGACGGGCTTTTCCTACGTGGTCGAGAAACTCTTCGACAAGACTTGGGAATCCTGAATGCAATAACCAGCTGCTAGATCTTCTAAAAACTAATGCGTGTTTCTCGTAGGATTACCGAAATAAATACGACTATTTTCATTTGATATCTATAGAAAGGTTTGTGCGGGTTTGATAAATAAATCATTGTGTTTTTAGGCAACTGCTTGTTTTACTCCTTTGCCACTTTTCGGTATTACAGGAGCCATATTTACAGTGTCTAAAATGCCTTTTTCAGTTTTAAAGCTTAAACTTGCCAATTCGTCCATTATTATTAACAAGCTTGAAAACCAGTCATATGAAGGAGAGAGAATTCTGATTTGAGAACATCATCAAGTAGTTTCAGCAGTTCTTATCGCTGGTGATTGTCTATATAGTATGTAGATACTATTGTGTAAAAATGCTCTCAATAAAAACATTCTTGACCCCTCTACATGCACTAGAAGTTTTTTACATTTCTGAGCCACTTGCATGTGTAATGAAGTAGTTGGAAATAAAATAAAATACATCCTGAAAAGTTATTTTCATCTCAATTTGTATTGATAATTTTCGCAATCATAACGTATATTGTCGCGTTTTAAGAACCTATTTCAGGCTTGTTAACGGGACATTTTAGAGCCTAAACCTTCGATGCCTACTCATAAGCCGGTCTCGACCATTTCCCACTTGCTAAAATCTTCCCTCTACATCTTACGTAATTTTCATGTTTCTCCCCACGTTTTAATGCACATCTATTCTTTTCCCTTCCATCCGCTACATGCCACAATCCCCACCGTCCACATTACACGCACACACACGCATGCACTCACAACAATCGATGTCAGTGAAAGCTGTATTACGAAATAAATACTTCATATGTTTATGAATTTCCATATCTAATTAGGTGCAATTCACTATTTCAATACTGATCTGTTCGTCAGTACATCTCAACCATCGAGAATACTACTAAACAATTTATGTCACAATTATATGTATGGTGTAAAATTGAGTCCAAAGTATTAATGTATTCTTTTAGAGAAACAGTTCAACGTAACATTTTTTCGAAATAATTCTTTGATTTTGATGTCTTATACGCAAATTACCTTCGCACGCAATTACCTTCGTACTGCAACTGTTTTAAGTCATTCATGAATAGAAAGGGCATCTTAATTGACCGAAAGGGGTAGCAGGAAGCACCCATTCTCGTTGAATGAATGTATTGAATCATGCAAATAACGGCTAAATTTGACGTCAGGAGCCATTGATGAAGAACTTTTTAAAATTCCAGTCACATTTGATCACATGGTATTGAGATACGTGGATTGTACAGTATGTTGCCATGCTAACCAGGTGCCTTCACAGATTTTAAACGTTCAATTCGCAGCTTCCAGTGAACATCCATTTTCTTATTGTTGCATCGTGACAAGATAATTAACAATTTGTACCGCCATTATTCTATTACGAGGACGCGTCTATTTTATGAGTAATGGGACATTGAGGGCAAGAACCGAAGCTCAGATGCGCATCTGCTTGATCGGAGGTCAGTGAACTTCGCAGCATCAGAGGGCAGCTTTGGGCACGATAAATGCCAGGAGGCGCGCCTTGAACCAAGTGCGATATCTTATTGATTTCACACAGACAACTCAAAGAGAGGAGTTAGATCCTTAATTGATGACAGAAGAGACGCGGAAGCTTAATGACATCAATTATGAATACAAGGGGGCGGTTTAACATGACACATGTGGCACACAGCACGAAACTCTGTTAAAAATAATATTTAAAGTTTCTCAACTAGATAAGTAGAATTTTGCAATCATATCCATTTAAAGAGCCTTTATGTGGGGTTTCGAGCGACTACTTTAAATTTTAATAATTTTTAATTTGTGCTATGCAAGTTCATAAAAAAGAAATTGTAAAACTAATACAATTGGCTGGTTCGACCATCCACAGACATAAAAAATAATCGATAGAAATACTTATTTTAGTATGTTTATGTTTTACAACAAAATTAAATTGAATTATTTAGATTCGTGGCGTAACGATTCAGAATATGCTAGAAAGGCATTATGTTAACTGGCAGTTTTTCATCAATGCAAGATCCTTAAAGCATCCCAAAAATGTGTGGCAATATTGCAAAATTATTTATACATATGTGTTGTGGAGACGCTGCGTTTTAGTAGTGGTACGAGTCCCACAGACTAACCCAACTTTGGGTTTGGGTATTTTCAAAACATCGCCATCGTCTACCAGAATTAATTTGCGGCAGAAGCTACTCCTTCAGATGTTTACTTGTTCGTATGTGCGTCTGCTGTTCAAGTCTATGTACTGTACAATCTCAACAATTCAAGGCAGTATAGATCTGCCTCTGAGGAATCATCCAATGTGGTGAATAATACGCTGCGTCCTTATGGCACTAATAAATAAGGCGACTCCACCATATGACGTAACCATCGTGTCTCCTTACTAATGCATCTTATAGGATCCATAACAAATGGAGTAGTTCTTATATTTTTTCGTTACATTACACATTACCTTACATTTCCTTATACATAAGTAACACTATTCAGCACCAATATAATGAAAATTTAGTATTAGCAGCACAAACTGGCGCTACAGATAGGACCCACATTGCCCTATCGTAATCACATGACGTATTATTGACGAAGCATCACATGACCACAGCCGATAATTTAGGTGGAGTATAGTGTTCCGATAAAGGTCTATCGTAACGTAAGAATTGCCGCAAGCGCCCAGGCCCTGAAGCATACGACTTTCGCACACGATATAAAGCGCCGATAAAAGCAACAGCTTAATTCTTCTCGAGGGACCGGGGCCAGGGGCGTTCGCGGCGCGGAAGTCCCCCGGGGGTGGGGGTGGGGCAGGGGGAGGGGGCGGATGCCACCGTGGCCCCGCCTCTGAGCTGCATGCTGATCAGTGGGGACTAGCGTCACGTTGGGAGCCTTACGTCACCCGTTGCTGCGGGGTCACAGCCCGCACCCCTCGGGGAATCAATAGCCTCCCGCCGCACCGCGCCGGCACGTCGCCTTTCAATTCGCACGATCCTCCTCTCCTCTGGCGCCCGATTTCTCCCCCACCCCCTCGCGGCGGCGGGCTAGCTTAACCCCTTCGCCGCTGAAGAAAAGATGGACGAACGCGATTCGATTCATCGAGGTTCGATTGTTTTAATTAAAAACTCTATTATTTTTTTTTTTCTTTTCTTTTTTTCTTTTTTTGGAAGTACCCATGCAGCAGCGATGTGCACTTTGCAATTTTAGAATGGAATAAAACCTTATTGAGGAAAAAGTTTATGCCACGCATTTAATCTCTCAATTTTAATAAGTTATAGGAACAGGAAATTAGTTAACAAAAGTCTCAATGGATGGCTTCTATTGACGGCAGATTTAAAAAAAATGTAGAAAAACAATGTTATTTGCGATAATTAAACATATGCACCGCCATTGCAACAAACGCGATGGGTCGAACGACATTTATAGAACTACGTACAAATAAATATGTTAATACAAATATGTTTTATACAGTTAAAACCCTTATAGTGAGAGAAAAGTTCAATACAAATCAAGAGATTTATTGGAGGGAATAGTTAATCTCAGAGTTATTTTAAATTTAAATAATTATTTTTATTCGTTCGATAATCCGAATATCTAATTGTAAATTTTTCAATACGAATCGATTCTTTCATTCAATAGTTTCTACCGAATTGCCCCTCCGCAGCAAGACGTTTAGCCACTAGAAATCATTATGATGGATAGTGGGCACCGCCTCTGCATTCGATATCATCATTCCCTCGTGTTGAAAATTCGTGTTCAATACTTATAGACAATTAGAGAGACTGTCGTCTCCCTCGACCAATGTCACCAAAGGACAGACTTGGGCTCACCAATAGGCAACTTTTCAATCCCCTTCAGGTAAATTAGTGTTTATTCGATGTTCCATGGCTACAAAATGTCCGTATGGAACGGTGGTTACTCACACCAAAGACTTCTTTCTTTCTTCTCTTCTTCCAGGCAAATGCTTAAAATAATTTCCACTAAAAATGTTACCAAACACATGCTAGTGAGTCTTGAAAATATACGAGTTTTCATCATTATATTTTATCTTTTATAATGAGGAGAAATCTTAGAATAAAAATACAAATAAAGAAATTCTTTACAGTTTATCATTCGTGAGTAATAATTTTGCTTTATCCGAGGAAGTTCTGACAGAGTAGATCTCTGAACAAAAGCTTTCACTATGCAATAACGAAAATTAAAATTTATCATCATGAGAAGCAGAAATATAGTAGAAACGAAGAACACCCATTCGCGTGAAAAAATAAACCCCTTCTACTCCATACAAAACTCGAGGAAATCCAGAATATGTTTGTGTTGGGTTTACTTTGTCGTGCGAATTTATGAATTTAGATGGTTTAGCTTTCATGTCCTTGAAATTAATTAAATAATATTTTATATTGTAATGTAATAAGAAACTATAAAACTAGTGGTGCAACAGAATGGCACAAACTTTCCCGTATTAGTATTCTATTTCCTTTAGTCTCGGACAGCTAATTATATTAGTACTCTATTTCCTTTAGGCTCGGTCTTGATATATTCATCTAGCTGCCATCTATCACCGCCCAAAGCACATTTTTTGACATTTTCTTAATTTTTCGGTTTCCTAACAGAACGGAAATATTATTCCATGGATATTAAAGAACAGTAAAACCTCGTCCTAAATGGAAATTTCCTTTGAAAAAATTGGAGCCGTTATTAAGAAAATTGTGTTTGTACTACAGTAAATTTAAAATTTGAAGCTATTTTTCACAGAATTTTTATGAGTTTTCGAAAAACTTCAATAGAAGTCATTTGAAGCATAGTAACTCACAAATACAATAGTGTTTAGACATTGCTGGAAACGAGCATATTAATGGTGTAAGATTTCTTACAAAAATAAATTTGTGTAATTTTTGAAAAAAAACATCAAAATTAACTTTACGTTATATTAAAGAATGCAATAAGTACTATTCGTTTGCTATGTTTAAAAAAAATGGAGCCGTTTATGCGAAAATTGCGTTTGAGCGGAATCTTTAGCCAGTTTTCCCAGAAAACTGTTAAGTTTTCGTGAAAATTCAGAGTTAATCGTGAAAATATATGTAACTTTTATTAGTGTATTCTTCTATTCTTACAAGAAATTTAATGAAAATATTTTATAGCTGTTTCCGAGAAAAGTTTGAAAATGATCGCGGGGCTTCATGTAAAGTACCCCTAAATTTTAAAGAAAGTTTTTGAAAATCGCGGCGCCACGAGTGGTGCCATATCGAGCGGGGAATGTACTTTTTAGATAAAATCATACTTATGGTTTAGGCGCTAGTCAGTTCACAGACTGACACACGGATGGACGTTTTGCAGTCAATTGGTTTTTCGCTATCAATGACCCACAAAACAGGTATTCTGGATAAACCACTTGTTAGAGGGTTTTTCTTAATTTAGCAACTGGATTTATACACTTTTTCGTTATCAAGGCGCGGCAATGTTTTTTTCTGCCGTAAATCCGTCTTTTTTCGCGCAGAATTACATAACTTTCGCAATACTATGTATATTACTCCTTTTATACGAATGTATACAAGAAAGTAAAAATGACTTGCAACCACACTTTCATACGCGATGTTACAGTGACATTTTAAAGGAAAGTCTCACAACAGCAACAACATATGTAGAAGATGAATATTTACACACTCAAAATTGAATATACAGGAAAAAGTGCGAAACAATACATAGAATCTAAATGAAGGCTGTTGAATAGCTTCAAGTACGTGAACGTTGGAAAGCTTCAAATACGTGACCATACGTCGTACTAAATAAATACCGTCTTTTACAAAATAGGCAATGCAAGAAACGAAACATTTTTGTTTCAAAATAATGTCGCAAATGAAAACAAATGTTGCAAATTATTTCATATCATACGATTCTTAAAATTAAAGTACATTTTCACAGTTTGTGCCATAATTCAACTCTTTCAGAAGATTTTCTATACGTGGAAAAACTCTAATTTAACTAAATTTTTTGTGAAGTTGAATTATATAATCGCCATTATCTATTTTAGATTATTAGGAAACGCCAAAACCTTACTAATAAATACTCAACGTTTTATGAAGAGTAAAGAAGTAGATATGAAAAAAATACCTAAAAAAACACTATATTTCAAAAAATGCAATTGTTTTTTTTTTAACTCTAAGAGGGTAACACGACATGAAAAACAATAAACGTTGCAGCTTCTATGACGTGAGGGGAGCAAATACAACCAGTAGAACGTAACAAATAAGTTTACATTTCCAGTGAGCATTACCTTGTTTAAATCCTGAACTTATTTTACAACTCATCAGAATACGTGACAGACGTGAGCACACATATGTTCCTACAGTCTCATACTACTTCGTCTTTTGTACAATCACGTTCTTCTGCTGATATGTGTTGATGTAATGCATAATGTAATAACAGAGGTATTATGTAATGTTTACATATAACAGCGTCCATTCTTCTACCCACGCTTGCTTCTCATTTCCTCATAGGTTTACGTGCTGGACGGAAATCACAGAAAATTATCAATCCGGGGAGAGAACCTGCGACCTTGAGCGAGAGAAGGAACAGCCAGTCCTTCAAGTAGATATTATGGAAAACTGTAATCTAAAGTATTCCCTATTAAGATTTTATCTAAAATATAATATAAACATCAAATGTCTAGCGTTGTAAACCTGAATTTGATGACTTATTTAGAATGAAAAAAACAATATGAAGAAACTAAATAAGACATGCGAGCTTTATTACTTTTTATTTGTAGTAGAATTAATTTAATCATTATTTTTTATTATAGGATATTTAAAATTCAAGGAAAACAACATCAATGAATTCTCTTTTCATGATAAAAATTTAGAAAATGTGCATTTTTTGTGGGAATGCTGATGAGGTGTTGTTGACGTAATTAAATGATGAAACAATTCACGTCATTTTGGTCTACTTAACGTTAACTAAGATGACTTCAATTATTTCATTAAGTTGACGAAGATTACTTCAATTATTTCATCATAGGCATTCTTTACACGTCGATAAAGTAATGTAATTCTGTTGTTCTACTTGACGTTCGATGTAAACATTTTTTAGAAGGGAATCACTCACCGCACGTACGACAAACATTCGGGAAGCTATTGAATTGAAAAATTAAGTTAATTGGCCAACCAAAAAATCTAACGTATTGAAAAAGAAAGGCATAATCCAATAACATTATTTGCTAATTTTGTCAATATTCAAACCAATGTTTGTTGTTTTCTAGCGGATAATATCATAAAAGGTTTATGAACATTTCAAATTATTTTTATTATCTTTCTAATGAAAGTTTGTTTCCGTTCCAATATTTTGAACCTTTTTCAGTTTAGTTTCGGTGAACTTTTTTAGTGACTAATCCTGTATATTATATTATATCATATTACATTATATTATATTATATAAATTATATTATGTTATGTGTATGCAACAAAAGATAACAGCAGAACCCGCTTTTTGATAGAAAAGCAGTGTCCAACACGTGCCCTCCGCAAGCAGTTCTTGGAACCGCGCCTGACTGAAAATACTGTCGACCACAAGGTGCGAATTCACGGCGACGATGCCGCTCGTCCTCCCAAGAGTTTGGTGCCTCGTTCGTGTTTGACACAATTTGAATGATCCACATCAAGGAAATTGGAAAGAACCCTTTCCAATTGTAAGCTCTTTAAGCGAAGTTTCACTCTTCAAATTGGATTCTTCCTAGAGTTTGAAACTAGGAAAATTTGCAAAACGTAGTCACTCCGAGTTCGCTTTCTATAAACCAACTGCTCTTATAACAATCATTAACAAATATGAAATAAAAGTCATCGCAATGTTCAAGTTCATACACCCGAAAATTTGTTTCGTGCTCGAGCTATCCGGGAGGTACTCTCATCTGGCACAGACGTCGGGAATAGGGAGCGAATTGAGAATTGTCTTCAGTTCATAACTCTAGAGCAGGGTTGTGCAACTGACCCGAAGGCCGAATGCAGCCCACGGTGCCGTTTATTGTAGCTCGCGAAAGGTTATGTCGAAAGTGAAAGTCCCTATCGTCTATGTCGGGCGAGAACATTGTACGCCTAGCGCACGCGCCCAGCCGGGGTCAACAGCACTTAAATGTAAGAGTATGTTAAGTTTACATTGAAGGACTTTTTTTTCTAGATTCAAAAATTCACAATAACCCCAATGTGTTTCACTGCGTCATGCATGGTACAGCCTGATATCACACATAGTTCCATTGTCCCTGCCCGTTTCAGAACTGTCGCGAAATGTGCCGAGATCAAAAAAACGGGGAAGTCAGTTGTGGATCGTCCGAGTAGTGAAAATATGGCCCGCAACCATTTAAGGTTTTAATTTTGCCCCTTGAAGCCTTGCAAGTTGGACATCCCTGCTCTAGAGAGGGCAGAACCGGCCAATTGATAAATGAAACACAGGCTTTTCGCTCACGCAACAGTCTCACGAAACCGTAAAAATGCTCCCGAGAAAGTTCGCTTGAGCCCCGTCTGAGCACCTGTCCGCCGCCGGCGCCACCTACCGTCCTCGAGCGGCTCCTGGTCGGGCTGCGCGGGGACGGGCGCCGGCCACGCCGCCAGCAACAGCAGCAGCAGAAGCGGCAGCGGCAGCGGGGCCACCAGCCACCCGGGGGCGCACGCCATGCCTCCTGCCACCAC